GTGACCAATAGTGGCTGTAGTTAAATAATAACACATGTTTGTGAGGGTAATATCACGATTTGTTGCTTGCCCAATGGGATAGTGGTCATGACCATAATATTGCTGACGCCGAGACATCACATCGAGCAGACCATCCACCATGCACAATCACATCTACCATACACTACTCACACCCGCACTCCCACAAAATAACAACACTTATATTTTAAGTATGCAACATTTTATTTGATGTATTATAACAAGTTTCACATTACTCAATATTATACATATATTGTTTGCTGAAAAAAAACTGCGAAATACACACAGTAAACGCTATTTTCAGCAGTGTGAACCACTCAATTTATCGAGTATAATATTTTTGAAATGCATTGAGAAATTCTCAAATGCAAGTTATTTAACCACTCGCAGATAAAAATGTCAGAATGCCGTAGAAGTGATTGAAATCACATTCTCACGAACGTACTACACCTTCTATTCCATAGACACGCAGATTGCCGCAAACCATCCGATCTGACACATACCGCGCGTGGAGCTGTGGGAAAAAGTGGTCGGAACTATTTTCACATTGTGTCAACACAGGTGGCGCTATTCGATTGGTTTGCGGCGATCTGCGTGAGTGCGTTCGCGTCGTCGCCCCGGGGGCTGAGTTCGATTGTAACGTTATATCGTGCTAGTACTTTTGTTTTTATCATACTGAATAACCTGGGGTCTGTGTGTCCACTTTTAATTAAATTCTTTTGTTTTTATTTTGTGTATAAAGTTGCGAGCATAGACTTTCTCATTGTCGAAGTGTTCTTTGTCGAACGATTCCCAAAATATGATAAGTACATAGTCATGTTGAGTTGGTAAATGGACAAATATTGTACGGTTGTTCATGGGTTTCTGTGCTGTTACATTAACAAATACACTTATGATACTTTGTACTTCATTGATTTTCATGCTTTTAAGCAGCAAAGTCAACTTTCATTCACAAAAAGCAAACAGATGGAATGATTGAGTCATGAATAATGGCGCATTAATTCAACTTTGTTTTTAATATCTACCACATTTGGAAATTAAATAAGATGAAGCAAGTTATACTACACTGTTACCCATTGTAGTTACTTGAACGAATTATTGAGATTCGAAACTCAAAATATGATATGAAAATCAGTATATAATTCTCAATTTCTCTAAATATAACAATTGACGCTTTCCCGGGGACTAGATGTGATGTGTTTGCTTTCTATAACCGTCGTTACGCTTAAAGTGTTATTGAAGCTGAAGACAGTGAGAAAGTGAAACTGGAGATGTCGGCCAGTAGAAGAGAACAGGACACTTTCTCACACTCTCTAATTAGGCAATTCAATGATTTTGTAAACGTTTTTGGTTTTGCAGTGTCTAAGCGACCAATTTACCATGAGGTTAAACAGCATAAACATATTAGCATATTATTATATTAGCATAAACGTAACCGAAAAACGTAAAACCGAAAGTATATTTACATTCGTTTTGAAATTAGATTTAGGGTATGCTTTACTGCGAGTCCAATATATCATTCAAATCAGATTCATTTCACAATTATCATACTATTAATTTATTTCTAAATACATTAAACTTACATTTCTAAGTCCCGTGTTGAAAATGTTGGCAATATTTCGCACAATACCATGCACTGCCGACTTCGAAATGTCGAAGGTATTGCTTACTTCTCTCATTGACTCTTAGTTTACTAAGTACCAAATACAAATCATTAGTTGCTTCTCTGGGGAAACCTGCTGTCTGCCACCGGCATGTTCTGATATAAGTAAATATCCAATCCGCTCTAAAATATAATTAAACACACCTCGGCTGATTCGAAAGTGAAAACAAAAATCACATAATGAGTACTCCGGTACGATTACTTCAGCGAAATCCCGGATTCTAGGAACATATTTCCTACGCAAAAATATCGTAATTAACGCAGCGATTGATATGAAATTAGATAAAATATAAAAAATAAAACCAGCTTCAGTCTCTTCTGTAACTGCTGAAAAGGGATAAATTCTTGAAAGTTGTTGGTCATATTGTATATATCCGCGAGTGTAGATTTTGCCGTTCGTTTGTAATTTCCCGGGTTACGATGCTGCGTATGAGCAATAACAAGGCATGACGTAGGTCGTACTTACTCGGGTCATGACCCGCGTTAGAATCGAACTCGGCTTGTAGAATGAGAAGTAACGCGCATCGAACTGTGTGGAGTTCGGACGCCGACCTGCAGCGTCAACGCGCCTAGGTTTTATAATTCCATTGGGGTTCTTTTGTTTCAAGGCGGAATATAGTTCCCTCCTCGACACGCCTGAGCTGATTTTCGTTGCCATTGACAACACATACACCAGAAATAGACAAAACTGTAATGTTTTGTTCACTAGAATTAAAATGAAGTGAAATCGGATAAAAACTTGTCTTGATTGTCGTAGATGCTCGGCAAACCGATCACCCAATCGACGAACCCTGGATCCAATATAAAGTTTCCCGCATTTATAACATGAACTGCAATATACAACATTCATCGTAATACAACTGAAAGCATTATTGACCAGAACATTTCCCTTGGGACTAAACCTACGATTGGAGTCAGTAATAAAAACACAAGTATTATACCTGGGTCGACAGAACCATATTTCTCTGGGTCCCCCCTTTTCCCCGTGTGTACCAATAACCCTCTTTAATTGACCAATGCTTTCCCAGTGATATTACGAGGATAACCCCGTTTTTTGAAGTAATCACATAAATTACCCGCCTAGTTACGGAAATCAGTATCATCGCTGCAAATACGGCGTACGCGGAGTAACTGTGAGTAAGGTATGGAGACCTTCATTCCAGTAGGA